AAGTCGGGTTTTGGGGGCCCCCACCGCCCAGCACCAGGGCACAAGGGCGAGCATGGTCGGGGCGCTGCTGGTCATGACCGCACCTGCTGGTCACCGGGCTCCGGGTCAAGGGTAAAGCGTGGCGCGTGGTGCCTGCAGACCCCCTCACCGTCCGAGCGTCCGTTTGCGGTGATTCACGGAACGGAACGGCCCGTGCCCTTTGGACGTCGCGTGCCACCTCTGAATGGAGAGAAAGGCAGACAGCGGACGTGTTTCCCGTCTCCGCATCAATTCAAATGCCGGTGCTCGTGGCCTGCAACCAGGTCCTGAGACGCTCTGTCCTCGGCAGCCACAGGGGAGACGCTGAAGGAAGGGTGCCCCGCGCGAGTCCGGCCCGCCTGCCTTCACGGCGGGACGGAGAGCGAGGCTGTGACTTTGCTCTGCTTTTATGTACTTGACTTGATTAGTGAAGAAATGTTGGGGAAAGTTCTAGTATTTAGTGTCTTCGCAACGAGCCTTTCACTAAGAAATAGACCGTGCGGCGCCGTCTGTCATTCGGGGGGGTGGGGGCGGCAGTGTGAGCACCGGCAGGGCGGCCCCGTGCAGGCTAACGTGCATCTGCTTTGCCCCTGCAACAGCTGTCCTGTGCGGCCCGCCCCCTCCCGTGCAGAACGGACAGGTGGAGGGGACAGACTTCCGCTGGGGGTCCAGCGTCAGCTACAGCTGCGCGGCCGGCTACCAGCTCTCCCACTCGGCCATCCTGTCCTGCGAGGGCCGTGGGGTATGGAGGGGCGACGCGCCCCAGTGCCTGGGTGAGTCCTCCATCTGCGCAGGCCCTGGGCACCGGCCCAGAGTGGGGGGACCCGGGCTAGAGTGAGGGACACGGGCCAGCTTCGGGGGACCTGGGCCGGTGTGGGGGAACCTGGGCTGGCGTGGGGGGACCTGGGCCAGCGTGGGGGACACGGGCCACCATAGGGGGACACAGGCCACCGTGGGGGCTCTCGGGTCACGGTTGAGGATCAGGCCTCACGTTGCTCACACCCACGTGAGACCGCACTGCCCGGGGGGGTCTGGCTCTCTGGCCACGCACTGGTCTAAGCCTCACCCGGAGACGGAGCGGGAGCGGGGTCAGCACGTCTCCCAGGTGGCCGGCACGGACACTCAGCGTCCCGGCCTCTGCGTGTCGTCTGCAGCTGTGTTCTGCGGGGACCCAGGCACGCCCGCCGAGGGCCATCTCAGTGGCAAAAGCTTCACGTACCGGTCCGAAGTCTCCTTCCAGTGCAAAGTTCCCTTCATCCTGGTGGGGTCGTCGAGGAGGACCTGCCAGGCGGACGGCACGTGGAGCGGCGTGCAGCCCACCTGCATCGGTGAGGGCGGCCGGGCGGCCCGGGAGGGGGCTTTGGGATGAGGACCTCGCACTCGTAAGTCGGAGCGTTTGGGGCGCACAGGTGCCATCCGTAGGTAATTCTCCAGGCCGCCTCCTCCGAGCCGTGCGGGCGCGTTCCAAGTTCAAGGCAGACTCCGGTGACGTTGCCCCTAGATGGTCTCTCGCTCGATGGCTTCGTGTCCTGTGCACGTCGGCTGACAGCTGCTCTCCTCAGGGCACAGGCGGCTTTGCTGAACAGGTCGCCCCTGCCATTGTCCCACCCGGCCACCGGCCAGGCAGCCAGGCGTGTCTCTCCCCACGCCTGCCTCTCACGCACCAGCGTGGTCCCCACGGGACCATCTGTGCTCTTCGTGGTAGAAAGAATCACCTCGGACATTTCCGCTCCGGCGACCTTAGGACGCGGAAATGAAACTCGCAAGTCAGGAGCGACTTTCTATGAGCGAAACCCCTCGATTTTACAGTAAAGCCGAGCCTCGTAGACGGGGTCTGGTAGAAATGAATTTGCCAACAGTGTTCGTGGCACAGAAACCAGAACCTGTGACCGTCCACTCAGCGATGTCCTCTCTCGGCTGCAGACTAAGATGCCGCCCGGCTGTACCGAGCGCGTCTGTAGTAAACGACCCGTGGTTTATAGTCTCGGGTGTTGTCTGAGAAACTGGATGCCGTCTGCTTAAAACAAAGACCCTCGTGGAGACGGTGTCCCTGAGGTGTGGCCTTTCTAGTTGTAGAAACACTGCCCGCCGTTTGGCTCACACTCGTGCTGCGTGGCGTCTGTCCCCGTACCAAACAGGGACAGCCTTTCTCCCCCGATAGGTTCGTTTCTTTGGAAAACAAAGTTTTTTGAAAGTTACTATTTCGTTTCCCCACTCGGAGCTGAAGAGCATCGGGTAACACGGCTGCGGTGCTCCTCGGTCCCCGACGTCCTGCACCGGGGTGAGACTGCTGGCCTAGCAGATGCTTCAGTCTCAAAGCAGTAAATCTGTTTCCTCAGTTTCGAGGAAAATTCATTCGAGAAAATGGAATAATGTCCCGCACGACCAAAGGAGATGGCCATTAATCGAATCCTTAGAAAAGCAAAGGCTCATAGTAGGTGTTAACTGAAGATAGCGTGTTGTTAGCCAGACGACGTGATATGTCATTAGAGAAAAAGCTAATCCGGGGAATGGGTGGGGCGAGGGTGTTTATTCCGACACAGAAAGTGACACACGGAGCCATGTAACGTAGCAAAGCAACGAAGATTAACACCTGAAACGATGTCTGAAAAGGCCAGAGTAACACGTTTAATTTTTAACTTTTATGCAGAAACATTGGTCAAGACACAATTGTGTCCGTTACGTAAGACGTTTTAGGAAAAATGTTGGAATTCCTATAATAAGCATACCTGGTGCTCTGCTCTCTCTTTTTCACCGTGAACTTCAGACCCTGCTCATAACAGCTGCCCAGACCCCGGCACCCCGCCCTTCGGGATGCAGGACAGCTCGAGAGGATACGAGGTACTGTTCTTACTTCACTGCGCTGTCCTGTGAGTGTGAAATGTAACTGCTACTCGAACATGTGTGTCTGTTTCCGTGTCCGCTTCATGTCACATGGGCCCGAATGAAAGTCATTCGGGGAGGATTTCTGCGCGGTATTTTAACTATCAGAACTGAGGTAACTGTTATCTTAGTTCACGTGCTAGTAATTGCTGTATGAATTTCTGCCGGATAGCAGGCATAACTTTGTATTTTCTGCCTGCCGAACTGACAATTCTCGAATTGGGGTGACTTGTCACAGAATAGTTGTTCATAAAGAGACCCCATTTAGCGACCTGATGTGACAGGAAATAAATCCTGGAGACAAAAGCAGAAGAAGAAAATACGTTTGAGCCCCTTGGGCTGATCCCTTTGAGCTGCCTCTTCTCCTTGTGACCTCGTAAAGCTGCCTGACAGCCAGCACACTCGGCATCACTTTGGAACAGTCGTTAGACTTTTTAAGTGAAAAGGACATCAACGCTTCAGAAAATATTGGAGGAATTGCTGAAAATGGAAGAAATGAATCTTGAGACAAAGTGTTCCAAGCATCTCGGGTGACCCAGTGAGCGCAGGGCCGTCTGATGGCTTCCTCCGGAGCCAGAGTCCCATGCAGGTGCTGCTGACCAGTGGAGACAGCCTGTCCCTTAGAACAAAGGTCCAGTCTTCAGCCACTTCTCCCGAGACCTGAAACGTTCCGTCCGATTGGCTATGACACGTTGGCTGCCCCTCGACAGCCCTCTCAGCCTGGACAGGGGACGTCCCCACCGGTCCCCGGCGGGTTAAACCGAGCGCATTCGGTGTTAGGTCTCAGAGCTGGCCCTGAGCCTCAGGGACAAGCCGCCGGCACGGGGACACGGTGCGCAGGAACACCGCTGACTCGCCGTCAGATCCCCGCTCGGCTCGGCCCACCGGGCGTCAGACGCACTGTGCCGGGTCCTGGACCACCCCTGTGCTGTTCGGAGCGGTGGGCGGACGCACCCCTCCGGCCCCTGTGCCTCCGTACGGCGACACTCACGTGGATAATGGGTTGTGCCCCAAGCAAGATTTACTGATAATTTAATGACGCAGGTGCCAGCGTTTAGGAACTGGCCGTGGCCTTCTGGGGACCGCCCTGCGGGCCGTTCCCTCCGTCAGGACGGGCACGTGACACGCGTTAGTGCAGCAGCTGGAGCCCTATTCCTGTTCTTCAGCACCGTTGGCTGAAACGTCACTCGGGCAGAGCAAGACACTTCCGTCCGGGGCACCCGCTGCCCCAGGATGTCAGTCACGCGTTTCAAGTGGCCGGCTCTGCCTCCTGCCGGCAGGTCCCAGAGGCTCCGGGTCAGTTTACAGTAAGCAATGACCAGTGGCCGGGCACATCCTGCCACAAACATTTTCCTTAGAACGCCGCATTTCTTCCTGCCAGCGAGCGGTGAGGCCTCCCGGTTGTCCTCGTGCTGCTCGGCCATGTGCCCTGTGCGCCAGGAGACCGGCCGGGCTCACGGACGCCCAGCCCGTCTGGCAGAGGTGTCCCTGGCCAGCGCCCACCCATCTTTGAATCTCAAATTAGTTATCACTTGAAGTTTAGATAAATTTGATTTTAAAAAATAAATTCCAGCCTCACTCTCAGGGGCCAGTCCTGAGAGGTGGCCACTTCTTCATCCCTGTCTGGGATGTCACCCTGCGTTTCTCCGTGATTATTATGCCTCCCCGAACCCCAGTGACGGAGCCATGGTCTCCCCAGACAAGGGGACACCCAAGAGGCCCTCAGGCCTTGCCTGTGAGGACCTGAAGTTCTGAGAAGTCCACGGCGGGCTGTGACTCGTCACCTAGACCTTAGGAACCCACGAGGCCACATGGCTGCGCAGAGCTGCCCCAAGGCCACTGGCCTCTCCTTTCCTTCCGCCCCCCAGAGCCCACCCTGCCATTCCTGATGTGGGCAACCCCAGGGGTCTCTGGTGCTGCCCTCAGAGGACCCTGCACCCTCTCACACGGGCGGAGTGACCGCTGCGCACAGCTCCCAGGCTTTGGCAATCTCATTAAGGGGACAGAGTGAGGACGTCCAGGCTCAGGGGCGGGCAACGTGGGGCCCAGAGCAGCCGGGGGCGAAGCCCTGGGGAGGGTCAGGAGGTGTGCGGTCAGCGGGGCCGGGGGTGGATCGCGGGCACCGGTTAGCGATGACAGGCCGCACAGCTGGGCCGCGGAGGACAGGTGGAGGGTGGGGGGAACCCATGGGGGGCGGGGCTGGCCCGTCCCAGAGG